GGGCGGTGGTTGGAGGAGGTGGCGGGGTAGGGTTTGTCCTTGTGGCCAGTGGAGCTGTGACCATCCCACTCCTGTTTGTGCAACCCCAGAGAAGCGGGATCTGTCCCCCCTGCCCAGAGCAATCTTATCTTTGCTGCTCTCCTCGCTGCGGAGGCTGCCGTAAGGGCTGAGCCCAGGCTGGCAGCAAGGAGGGCAGGGCCCCGGGAGGACGAGCTCCCCGCTGACCGTGAGCTGTGTTCCCCGGCAGCGCTCCAACTACCTCCATCGCGAGGCGGTGGAGCTGGCCCGGCACTACCCCAACATCCGCGTGACGCCCTGGCGCATGGTGACCATCTGGGGAGGGGCCAGCCTGCTGAAGATGTACCTGCGTAGCATGAAGGACCTGCTGGAACTGGCCGAGTGGCCGTGGGACTTTTTCATCAACCTGAGCGCCACTGACTACCCCACGAGGTGAGGACCTTGCTGGGGCAGGGGAGGAGGACGGAGGCATTCGGGCTGTGTGATGCTGCAGCAGCCTTGGGAGGAGCAGGGACCTGAGGGAAGATGGGGTTGGAGATTGCACCCACGTGCTGGTGATGATGCTCCAGGGCCAGGCTGGTCCCATCTCTGCAGAGGAGCCCAGCTGGTACCTCAGAGGCTGTTTTTTCCTGCGGTCTGGGTGTTGCAGGCAAACATGAGTGTGAGGCGCCAGATGGCAGAGAGGCCACCACCTCTGTGTCTCCCCAGCGATGGGGCCAGGGTTTGAGTCAGCGCTCCCCAGGCAGCTTTAGGCTCCTTGTGTCTGATGGCTGGGACAGCATGAATGTTTACTGGGCTGCTTTACCCCAGGGGCCATTAATGCTTTCTAATTTGCACCGCAGGACCAACGAGGAGCTGGTGATGTTCCTCTCCAAATACCGAGATAAGAACTTCCTGAAGTCTCACGGCCGAGACAACGCCAGGTAATCCCAGCTGGAGGAACAGAAAAAGGAGGGATTTCAGAAAAGAACTGAAACAGCTGGGGTAGGGGGATGCTCTGGCTGCAGCCGCACCCAGCAAAGTGGGTGACACCCCTAACCCCTCCTCCTCGTCCCCGTGCCCAGGTTTATCAAGAAGCAGGGCCTGGACCGCGTGTTCCACGAGTGTGACTCCCACATGTGGCGGCTGGGCGAGCGCCGCATCCCCGAGGGCATCGTGGTGGACGGGGGCTCCGACTGGTTCTCGCTGACGCGCAGCTTCGTGGAGTACGTGGTCTACGCCGAGGACCAGCTGGTGTCCCAGCTGCGCCAGTTCTACACCTACACGCTCCTGCCAGCCGAGGTGGGTGCTGGCGGCAGGGCACGGGCTGTGTTTTCTTCCCACTGTGCTTAACATCGCTGTCCCCCTCCATCCCTGCCCCGAGTAGCGGCGAAGGGTGTGGATGGTTCTGCTGGGGCAGCTTTGTGCCTCCCCTTCATCCAGTGTGAAAGAGAGGAGAGGGGAGCAGAGAGGCCAAGGGTCGTGTTTATATCCAGCCCTGCTTTAGGTCCAGATGCCCCTCTGGGCTGGGCAGGAGCAGATATGGACACACAGCCTGGTCCCCGCACTGGGAACGGGGATGGGTTTCTGCTCAGCACTGTCGAGGCCTGTCCTCTTCCCTCTGTGAGTGAGGGGTGGGGGGGTCTCCTTTAACCGGCCGTCCTCCATCCCCACTGGGTCTCCTGTCCCTTCTCTGCCACGCAGTCCTTCTTCCACACGGTCCTGGAGAACAGTCACGCCTGCGAGACGCTGGTCGATAACAACCTCCGAGTGACCAACTGGAACCGGAAGCTGGGCTGTAAGTGCCAATACAAACACATAGTCGACTGGTGCGGGTGCTCCCCAAATGACTTCAAACCCCAGGACTTCCTCCGGCTACAGGTGAAAAAGCTCCTCCTTTCTCATCCTGCTCTCTCCCCTGCTCCCCGTCTCTCTGCCCTGGGTGCGGTGCCAGCCGCCGTGCGCGCCCGCGTGAGCCTCCCCGCGACGGACGGCCTTTTTTTGTCTCCCAGGTCCGGCGTCTGCAGGGGCTGGGGCAGCGGGATTACACGGGCTGTTCCTCCCGGCAGCCGGGCTTTTCCTCGCAGTGCTGCTCCTCTTCCCAGACCTCTCCCATTTTCCTGCTGTTTCCCTGCAGATCTGTTCCTTTCCTTGGGCAAACACCTTTTCGGTAACGCCGCTCCAGAGTGCTGTCCTCTTTGGCAGGACAAAACGCCTTCTGGTGACCTGTCCTCCATGCTCTCAGTGCCTAGGGACGTAGATTGAACAAGGGAGGTTTGGGGGAGGTACACCCACCCTGAAAAGAGACGTTAGCAGGATTTTTGAGAAGTCCTGGGCTCACGTAGCGCGGGGCCCTGATCCTGCAAGCTGTGCCGTGCGGCCAGGCCTCGTGCAGGGCTCTGCAGGGTGGGGGCCCGGCTGAGTGCAGAGATTGCAGCGAAGGAGCTGGATGACACGTGGCTGCTTGGGAGCGCGGGAAGGCGGAGGCAGTGGGAGAGATGGGAACCCATCTGCATTACCAGTAACCGCACAGTATGCTCCCACTGATCCTACCCCAGAGACTGGCTCTGCTTCGCTGCTCCTTAGCCTGTGCCATCAAAGGGGGCAGGATGGATCCCAGAACGTTTCTTCCCAGTCTGTCTCTCTCCCAGCTGCCCCGCTGAGGTGGGAGGGCAGAGCGGGTGCAGCCAACGCCGACAGAAATACAGAATCACAGAATCACAGAATAGTAGGGGTTGGAAGGGACCTCTGTGGGTCATCTAGTCCAACCCCCCTGCCGAACCTTGTGCTTTTCCAGCAACTCTCCAGACCCACCTTCTTCGCCCGCAAGTTTGAGTCGACAGTGAATCAGGAGGTGCTGGAGATCTTGGACACGCACCTCTACGGCAGCTACCCCCCCAACACGCCAGCCCTGAAGGCCTACTGGGAGAACGTCTACGACCGCGTCGACGGGCTCAGCGGCCTCAGCGACGTCACCCTCACCTTCTACACGGCCTTCTCCAGGCTGGGGCTCCGCCAAGCCGCGTCCGCGCCGGCAGCGGAGGGCTGCAGGTGGGTTATTCTCTGCAGGCTCGAGCCGGGCGCCGAGTGGTGGCCTGCAGCTCGTGCTGGGAGGACGCTGACGCTCAGGCGTGGAATCTCCGTCTGTCTCTCTCTCCAGGTTTGAGCCCCGGGGCTTCCCGTCGAGTGTGCACTTATATTTCTATGATGACCGTTTCCAAGGTTACCTGGTGATGCAGGAAGTGCAGAATTTGGCAACTGGGCAGGCAGAATCCCTGGAGGTGTGGATGATGCCCCAAGGAGCTCTGAAGCTGGCGGGTCATGGAGGGCAGGCAAACCGCTTACAAAACCTTGAGGTAAACGCGGAAAGTTTCCCTCACAGCGCCTGCTTCCCTCCCCGGCTTCCCCACGCCGCGCTGCCCTTCCTCCTCTGCTCCACCTGCACGCTGCGGGGACGGAGGACACACCTCTGTCCAGGAGCTTGGCTGCTGTGGGGGGTGGGGAGAAGGCCTGAAGCGGATCTTTCAGGGGAAAGCTGAGGCTGTGGTGCCTCGCAGCTGCAGGGGCCATCACGCACAGCTGGATTGGCAGTGGAATGGTGCAGGCAGGCAGGAGAGCCATGGAGGGTGGGATATGCATTGCTTTGGGCTCCAGAGCTTGTGCCTTCTCTGGACTGGGGAGGTGGAACACAGAACCTGAGCTGATAGCGTCTCCGTGCCCAGCTCATGCCTCCCATCCCTGCAGGTGGGCACAGAGTGGGACCCCAAGGAAAGGCTCTTCCGCAATTTTGGAGGCTTGATGGGGCCTTTCGACGAGCCTGTGGCCATGCAGAAGTGGTCACGGGGCCCCAACCTGACGGCCACGGGGGGGTGGATCG